AGATCGAGTGATTCTAACTGTCTCATCTGCCCAATGTTTGAAGGAATCCATCCCGTCAACTGATTTCTTGATAAGTTCAATTGAACCAGTTCCGAGAGAACAGATACCTGGACTGGAATCTTTCCTGTTAATTTGTTGCTTGAAAGATCAATAATCTTTAGAGTCTTGAGATTTCCATTGTCATAATCACGCTCCATTCCTTTCCACATTACAGATGCTTTGTCGACCTAGTGTCCTACGTAAAAGCCGTTACTATCATCATATGAATCTGCAAAAGAATAATCAATGGCTGAACTCTCCTTTTGGGCTAATGTGGTCAGATTCTGGATGCACGATGGTATGTTTCCAGATAGATTGTTGTTGGAGAGGTCTAGCAGCGTCATTTTTTTCAACCAGCATAGCTTCAAGGGGATGTCTCCACTGAAATGATTGGACCTCAGGAGAAGGAAAATTAGTGAACTTAGCCTTTCTCCAATCCAAGTTGGTATTTTTCCAAAGAAGCTATTATTATTTAAGTTCAAAAATTGCAAGGCACTGCAATTTCCTAGAGACAAAGGTATTTCTCCAGAGAAATTGTTGTTTTGCAAACCCAACGATTCAAGACGATGCAAATATCCAATAGAGCTTGGAATTTTCCCAAATAAATGATTATTGGCCAAATTCAGAATCGCTAAACTTGTCCATTGCATCATGCAATCAGGAAGCTTTCCAGATAGTTGATTGTGCGAAACATCAAGGAGATCAAGTTTCCCAGCAATTATGGTGCACAGAGAAGAAATTGACTCAGAGAACCGATTTTCTGATAGGTTTATGGATGAAACATTAATAAGGAATATTGGTAATGGACCATCCAATTTATTTTTACTCAGATCTATCCCAAGGCCAAGAGAATTAGCAAATTTTGTAGTTGACAAATCTGGCAAAATTCCATAGATATGGTTGGAAGAAAGATTCACATGAATTGCCCTAGAAGATAGGTTCCCAAACCACTTTGGGATGCCATCAAAAATCCCATTTCCAGAGATATCAAGATAAGAATATTTCCTTTGGGTCTTCAACCAGCTTGGAAACTTTGGGCCCAACTTGCATGACACAAGTTCTATCCCATTTAACTGGAATGGAGGAATCCAATCAGGGGTAAAGTTGAAGCTCAGAGAATTAAAAGACATGTACAAGCCCCGTAACCTAGATAGTGTTGAGAAGTGTGATTCAGTGATCATCCCATTCAAAGAATTGGAAGAAATATCTAACAATTCAAGCTTTGACAGGAGTCCAATACTTTTGGGCACAGTACCGCTTAGTTGGTTGTTGTAAAGATACAACCGTCGCAGTGACATTAAGTTTTTTATCATATCAGGCAGGGGTCCCTTGATTTTATTTTCATGCAAATCCAATTCTTCCAAGGAGAGTTGTAGACATCCAGATAAGTTACCAATGAGTTCAGGAAGCATTCCGTCCAGATTGTTATAAGATAGGTCTAGGTACCTTAATTTGCACAAGTTTCCAAAGGACTTTGGAATCCCTCCAAATTGGTTCCCATAGAGATCTAGGATTTCATGATAAATCATGTGACTAAGATTTTCAGGAAGCATTCTGTCAAGATTGTTAGAAGATAGGTATAGGAACCTTAATTTGCACAAGTTCCCAAAGGATTCTGGAACCCCCCCTTCGAATTGGTTGTCGACGAGACTTAGGGTTTCTAGATAAGTCGTGACCTAGATTTTCTGGAATCAAACCTTGAAACTGATTAGAAGACAGGTCGAGATAAACAAGGCTCTTGCTGAATTTGAACAACCAGTGGAATGTGGAGGAAGTCAAATTGTTGTTTCCTAGATCAAGGTGAGTGAGAAAAGTAGACGTATTAATCATGGGGATGGACTGTGGAATGACATCTCGAAGATTAGAATAACTTAGAGACAAGTTAGTTAGGTGAGGGAGGTTACTAATCACCTGCAGCCAGTTATCTACCTTTCCAAGGTCGTTTCCGCCCAAATCAATGTATTTTAAAGAAGAAAGATAAGAGAGCCATTCAAGATTTTTGATATTGTTGAAGTTATTAAAGCTAAGATCAAGATATTGCAAACTCGTGAGGTTTGAAAGCTGGCTAGGAAGAGATCCACTTAAATTACAAGAATTGAGATCAAGATGTTGTATTTTGTTGAGCAAGCCGATAGACTCTGGAATGCAACTAAAGTTGAAATCATTTCCAGCGAGGCCTAAATAAGTTAAATGCTGCAACTCAAATAGGGAAGGACTAAGGTTACCTCTCAAGCAAAGATAACAACCGTGCTCAAGCTCTGCAGTTAGATTAAGCACAGTGATGTGTCCAGTTGTGTTGCTACATTGAACTCCTTCCCATTTGCAACAATCCTTTCTCTCCTCTTCACTGCCCCATGAGGAAAGCCAGCCACATTCGTCAACCAGACCTTGCTTAAATGCCAAAAGCGCTTGTCTTTCGATCTCTATGCACCTAACTTCATCACCAGCAATTGTTGAACTGACTCCAATAGAAGATTGCATATGCAGTAAAATCAGGAATGCATAGACAAGTTGAAGAGACCCTCCACCCAGAATCTTCATTTTGAAATTGATGAGATTAAAATCAAAGATGAAGGTGAACCAAAATGAAGAGTGTGTCAGGAAAATATGGTAAACGGTAAACAAGGAATTGAGGAACGTCAGAAATTAGCTGATAAGAGCAGGTACTTTGCTAGCTGCATTTTGGACCCTGTGGTTGCACAGAAATGAAAAATATTCAGAAATGAAGTACGGGATGAAAGCAGGAAAAAGATAATGTGCTTGATGGGCTCTCAAAACCATTCTAGCTACCTATATATAGCTTCAAGAAAACACATTTGAGGTTGTACAAGGGCACATCAAAGAATATTAATTTACTGTAGGTAGAAGGCGAAGATTAAAGGAAGATTCCAGTAGGTAAGTTGAAATCTTGGGTAAATTATTTGTAATATGCTTCAACACGCCCTACAATTTTAAGTTTTTTACTCCAAATGTTTAGCATAAATAAAATTCTAAAGCTCTTAATTTACTATAGGTTGATTTTAAAATCCTTACATAAATCTCTCGTAAATTTCATTTTATATCACAACCTATTAATTTATTTTTCAATCTACTCTTAAACTTAATAAGCGCAATCTCCATTGATGTCATAACACTATCTTAAGCAGAATAGTTCAAGTGAAGGGCAATCATACTAAATGTTTTGGCTTCCTACAACCCTTGTCTAATTTCTAATTATAAAGTTTTGGAAACTAAAGCTCCCTCTAAATACCAATAAAACATTTGATATATCGAAAAACTATTTTTTAAGGCAGACCGTACAGTTCAACCTATTCAATTATTTAAATATCCTTAAATTTTTTTTATATGTTATTTTATTAAATGCATTTAAATAATTTTATTAAGCAAACCGTATATAATCCATCCTGAAAAATAGTTTTCCCTCGATGTATTAGCAATTAAATTTCAGTAACTTTGTACAATTTTACAGCAACCAACTCTGTACAACAAAAGTCACAATCACCCAAACAGGCCATAACAACGTTGCCGAAAATAATGTTCGTTGTGAAGAATAATTTACGTGATCTTTTACTTGACATTTTTGTGATAATAAATTAGAAGGACCGTATACCCAAAACCGTCATTTTAATAAGTGATAAGAACAAAATGAAGATGAAGCTCAACCAAACTGTACAACAAGGAAATTTAATCTTTTGTGGTGGTGTCTACTCAGTTCTCAAAACCATTCTGTTCCACTTACCTATAACTGTAGGGAACATCAAAGAAATAAGGATTTTTCTAACATGTCTTTAGGTGCAAATTAAAAATATATTTATTATATTTTTTTATTATTAATTTATATA